GCCATATATGCTAAACATTCATATGCCCCTTCATTCTTTGGCCACCATTCCAGAGGACATGCTTCCATGCTGATGATGATCATTTAAAAAAAATATATATATTAACTAACTGTGGCTGAATTACTTGTGGGAGAATTGTGTCTCCTATTCTGGTTTACCCGCATTCTGCCATATATTTCATGTTTTATAATGGTCTCAGATGATGACCTAGCACATGTTGTTTCTCTTAAGAACACTTTCAGTGCAGACTTGACAAAATGCAAAGACGGTACCAATGTGAGATTTCTAAGGACAGATACAGCACTCGACCCAAGGTTTAAGAATCTGAAGTGCCTTCCAAAATCTGAGAAGGACGAGGTGTGCAGCATGTTTTCAGATGTCTTAAAAGAGCAACACTCAGATGTGGAAACTACAGAACCCAGGGCCATCCCTACCCATATGCAAAGTATGCAGCTGCATAGGGCACCAGGAAATTTTAGGCACCAAATTTCCTAGTGCCCTGCGCAGCTATTTGCTGCTCCAGCCCCTGGTCCGCCCCAACCCCGCACTCCCACTCCACTCTCTCCTCAAAGTCCCTGCCCCTGCTCCACCACAGCCCTGCCTCTTCCCAGCCCTGCTCCACCCCAGCCCCGCCCCTACTCCCCTGAGGACTAAAGCAGGGCTGGGCCCGCACTCACCGGCAGCAGGAAGTGCAGTGACCTGGCCCCAGCTACGCCACTGGGGGGTGGTTCCCCCTGGCCCCCCAAGCCAGCCCTCCTGAGAGGCCTGGCCCTCCCCCACACTGTGGGGGGAGCTACATAGGGCCCCAGAATAGCTAGGGATGGCCCTGACAGAACCCAAACCACCAATATATATCAACCTTTTGCTGGTGGCATCTGAGTCAGATGATGAAAATGAACATGTGTTGATCTGCTCTGCTTTGGATCGTTATTAAGCAGAACCCACTATCAGCATGGACGCATGTCCTCCGGAATGATGGTTGAAGCATGAAGTGACATATGAATCTTTAGTGCATCTGGCATCTAAATATCTTGCGACACCTCCTACAACAGTACCATGCGAACCTCTGTTCTCACTTTCAGGTGACATTGCCAACAAGAAGTGGGCAGCATTATCTCCTGCAAATTGTAACCAAACTTGTTTGTCTGAGCAATTGGCTGAAGTAGGACTGAGTGGACTTGTAGGCTCTAAAGTTTTACATTGTTTTATTTTGGAATGCAGTTATTTTTGTACATAATTCCACATTTGTAAGTTCATCTTTCCTGATAAAGAGATTGCACTACATTAATTGTATTAGATTAATTGAAATATACTATTTCTTTTGTTTTTTACAGTGCAAATATTTGTAATAAAAAATAAAGTGAGCATTGTACACTTTGTATTGTGTTGTAATTGAAATAAATATTTGAAAATGTAGAAAACATCCAAAAATATTTAAATAAATGATATCCTATTGTTTAAAAGCGTGATTATTTTTAATCATGCAATTAATCACGATTAATTTTTTTAATTGCTTGACAGCCCTACTATCTGTACATATGTATTCTAATCTGTAAAAAGACTTGTTAGGGTGTTATCAAAAGCCCACAAAAGTCAATGAGAGTCTTTTCATTGACTTCAGAGGGCTTTTGAAGTGGGTGCTAAAATGTGCCAAGTGAAAAGTTGTAGCGAGGACTTTGTCCTTCCGAGAGCTGCACTGATTTACTGTAACTTAAATATGTGGCCACTCTCAGAGCTGCTCTATACTAGAGTTACGTAGTTTAAATACATTGCTCAGGGCTGTGAAAAACATCACACCCTGTGCAATGTATAACCAACCTAAGCTCCCATGCAGATGCTGCTAGGTGGAAGAAAGAATTCTTCCATCCACCTGGCTACCATCTCTCAGAGAGGTGGATTTACTACAGTGGTGGAAGAATCATTTCCATCGCTCTAGTCAGTGTCAACACTAGAGCGACGCATCTGCAGCTGGGCCACTGTAGTGTTTCTAGTATAGACATATCCTTACTTTGGTTTAGCTTAAAGACTCCCTGATTAGTACGCTATATACAATAAGCATAATTTAAACCAAAGTAAGAAAGTGTTTGCATAGCCTTTTGCAGATTTAATTAAACTGGCTTAAAATCTCTATTTAAACTGCATAACTTAACTGTGCTGACAAGCCCCATGCTTTTGGGTTGTGGAAAGGAGTGGGTGAAATGGCATCTCCTTCAACCAATTTAATTTGTTCCTGCCAGCTGAGTAAGAAGCAAAGATACCTACTCTAAAAACTGCTAGTGTGTGCACCCTAACTGAAGGCATTTCAATGTAACCATTGCTTGCGTCTTTAGGAAGGATACTATTCCAAGAGAATTGCTGATTTTCACAAGATCTTTTATATCCAGAATCGCTACCTACTACTGCCATGCTGACCCTTCTGATGGTGAATGCACCATCTGTTTGACTAGGCTTAGCAGCACTACACAACACTTGAAGATAGAAATTGAATATACCCAAATGAAATTGTAGGGAATTTTTTTTTAAAACGAAAACCAATCAAACCTGGAATTAAGGACACTAAAGTCTACTCTGGCTCTACGTGTAAATGACATCATTACTGACCGTAGATGTTTGCACAGAAATATCAAGACCTAAGTAATACTACACACAACAACAAACAACAACAAACTATATTAAAAGAACCTTAAAGTTGCAAAATCAATCACTCAGACACTAGGAAACAGCAGAATTCTGGATGCCCACAGAATTAAAACAACATTTTGGTGCAACTGAAATGTGTTGTTTAGATTTAGACCCTTGACAATGTTTATATATTAATATTTTTATAAAATATAGAAAATATAAAGTTTCAAAATGAAAAATCAAAATGTTTCAATCTGATCAGGAACATTCTGTTTTGACTTTATCAAAATGCTTCATTTTGATTTTTTTCTAAACAAAATTATTTGAAACCAGCAAGTTCTCACAGAATATTTGGAGGGACTGGCATTTTCCAGCAAAAAAATATTCCAGCAGAAACTTGTTGGCCAACTCTACTCTAAATAATACAAACAAGAGGACCAAATTAATGTTTCACATGCAGTCTTAATTCTGGCATTTCCCAACTGTTAAGTTCTTGACTCTGCAACCTTAATGTTCTTTCAGCTTAGTTTAGTGTGCATAGCTGCCTAGGTTTTTAAAAAAGCAGCTGAAAACATAGAAATCCTATCATGACACATTACAAACACCTACATGGTTCATCGGCATGATTAAAAAGTTTAGATTTCAAGAAGATTGGGTTCCATTCCAGGCTTGAGAAGCATGCTGTAGCAGGTACCAACCTCCACTTGTTTTCTTCAAGCAAGACCCATTCTGCCCTCTTGCCTCCAACTTGTCCCAATTCTGTTTCTTTCCCACCCTGGGCTCCACATCCAAGTCCCATTCTCCTCACCTAGCCACTCCATGTTTCCACTTCTCAGGCTTCTCATCCCAGTTCCCATCTTCTTGCCCAGCAAGTCCTAGTCTCATCCCTCCAGATACCTCTTCCCAGTCTCCCTGCCACTCCTACTCCCCTTGCCCAATCATTCCGTTTTCCCACAGCCCTAAGCTCTACATCCCTAGTCTCCTCACCCAGGCAGAGATCCCTCCCTTCCCCAGTTCCTCTAGCAATCTGTCTCTCCAGTCCCCTCCCACAATGACATTTCTCCACGCCCAATTGGTTCCCAGTCCAAATTTTTCTCCCAGTGCTCCTCATCCGAATTCAATGCCCCCCCCCACAATACTCCCAGTCATCTCACCATATCCTGGCTCTCCTCCTCCCTCATCTCTGGTTTAGTCCACTTTTCTTGCCCAGCCAGTTCCAGTCCCCCACCAACTCCCAGTCAGTTTCCTTCCCCACTCTGCCCCATCCCCCAGGCTCCTTGTCCCAGTAACTCCCCTTTCCATAGGGTCCATCTCCCAATCTACTCCCACCCCCTGCTTGTGTCTGGCTCTTGCCCGCTCTGCATTCAAATCAGTCAAGATCCTCCTTCCAGTTGCCTGGGGTAACCAGCAACACCGATTAACACCACTAGTTCAGAAAGTCAGAATAGTGCCACCTATTGTATCCCGAGCTCCGAACCCATACGTATTCTAGGATTTCCTCCTTGAAGGTTTTGCATCCTATTGCTTGCTAGACGTGACCCTGCTTAGCTTGTGGGACCAGACAAGAACAATGTGGAATGGTTACATGATACTGACAACTCTACATGAACATTTTAGGACGGATTTGAATTCTGCAAGGAGTTTCCATAGCAATTGTAATTCTTCATTTTTACATAGATGTTCTAATCTACAAGATCACAATCTTGATTTCAGTTTATTGTAAGTGATATCAGTGGTTTCTTTCCATCTCTAAAGTGATACTCAGATGAGTGCTACACAGAAAATAAAATTGTACTGTATCCATTTTAACTAGTGTCTTTAAGCACGAAATCAATTTTATACAACTTTTTTTAAAAAGTCACATGGAGGGCGTTTATAACCTGTGCAACAAGATGCAATTAAAGATTTGCTTATACGGAATTGGGAAAAAATTGAAATAAGACATTTGAGCCCTTTTTAAATCCATATTGAACTGTGAGCATAGCAAATTACAACACAGAAGTCATATTTTCAGGGACAGCAGCAATCTGCCTGCCATTGCCTTGGAAACTGAACCAGAGGAGAAGAAAGGGATCAGGCTTGAAAATTATGGTGGTGGGGGCAGGGCCACCGAGAGCAGGTTCGGGCCCCGGTGAAAAAAGTTTTTTGGGCCCCCCAGCAAGGGCGGACGGGCTAAACAGGGCCAACAAGAGGGGGGGGAGCCAGAGAAGCCGGGCCCCCTTCCGGACCGCTGGGCCCCAGTAATTTGTACTGGCTTCCCCCCTCTCTCATCGGCCCTAGGTGGGGGGGGAAAATCATTTGATTGCTTTCCCTTAGGGCTGAAATACTGAGGTAATAGCAATACTAAGGTAATAAGGACAGAGTTTATGAACAGCAAGTTACAAAACTCTGTTGAATGATTTAATGCATTTTCAAACTGTAATGAAGAAAACGCTAAACATCTAAAAACAATCAGCAGAATACAAGTCAATAAAAACAAGTAGTTTCACATATTTATAAATTCAGGATTTTTTTCCCCAAAAGAAATTGGCTTTCACAGACTTAGACAACAAATAAGATGTTTCACACCAAATTATTTTCACTCTAAAGTATGTACAGAATTTGAGTCTGTGAAAACCAATGTGCACTGCTTATGGGGAACCCCCCCCCTTCCTGACGCAAAATCTTTGTGTTTGTCCAGTGATGCATCCAAGTGAAGTTCTGCATCAATAATGAAAATATAGCAACTTTCCTCCATTTTATGAAATGTTGGATATAATTAGTTCAGCATTGATTCTCTCTTTACAACACTTCTGATTCCATGCATGGCCAAAACTGAAATGCTTACACATGTTCAGTCAGTGTAACATTGTCCACCACCAATCTTTGCCTTACTGGAAGGGGAAATTTATGGCCTCAATATTACATCCAAGTAGTAGAATATATAAAAGTTAAAAGATGGTACAGTCATTCAACTGATTAAGAATTAGTCTGCTCCTGAGAACCTGTCTCTAGCACCTTGCTTGGTTCCTCCACTCCATCCCCAGAGAAAATAAGTTAGTGTATACTCCTTTCTGAGGTCGGAGGTTGATCCCTCTGGTGATATAAGGGCCAGGAGCCACTGGACGCAATGACAATTAAACTGCATATAATCCAATGGCCCTGTGTTACATATGTATATATTAAATACAGTTTAGGATAGTAGGATCACACTATTAACCTTTCCTCCAACTTAAGTTTGTCAAATCCATGCAAATGAAATGGTTAATCATTGCTCAGGATACTAGATATGGAGCAAACTGGAATTGCTCTGATTCTATTAGCAGGAGGTGCACATGGCAAAAGTGTAGTAGTTTTTTTTTTTTTTAAGTATCCAGACTGCATCCATGCTTATGTTTCTTTTCCTTCCTCTCTAACAAAAAGATGTTTTAGTCTTGTTTGTAAAAAACCATGTCTGTAGCCCAACACCAACCCAGTGTGTATGCCCTAGAGAGTAAAAAAAAATCTGATGAGAGTTTAAATTTAATCTTCCAAATCGTTAGAAACAAAAAACTACTTGACAATTACCGTAGATACTGTGACACTGTCCTTTAAATACAAGTCTTCTGATACCAGCAGTTAAAGTCTACAGCTGATCACCAGAACCTTTCACTAGCAGGTATAGAAGTGTGGCAATTATGAAAGACTCACGGTCTAATATATACTGAAACTCAGACAAACCAGTGTTCTGAAAAAAATCAAGCTATTTGAAGACATTCTGCTCTATGAAGTCACCACATACATTCTCTTATAGTGTGTCTCACCCCTTCTTATCCTTTCATTGTTTTATGCTTCAGCTTACTGTTAGGACCCAAATTTTTTAATAATTACTTAATGGTGCACTTATTCTCCCCTCCTATTCCACCTCTTTGCGTTCATATACTAATGAATGAAAGATATGATTAACAAATCAGCCTCTCAACTTCAATCTAAACAATGCTGTAGAGGACTCCAGCTCAGCTATTGTTTCATATAATCATAAGAATGTAATTAAAAGATCATAATACTTAAGATCTTATGGTAATCAACTTTAAACATCCTACTATATAAAAAGACACCATCTAATTACTTTGATCTTTCATCTTATGCTGTGATATGTCAGACAGTTAGGGGCAGCTAAAAGGTCTGTCTGAAGCAGCCTTCCTCTTCCTTCTGAAAATGTCAGCTGCCACATGCATTTGCTTATTTGAGCAACAGCTGGCAATAACTCAACACAATGCCAGTACAACAAGGCGAAAGACAGTGAGGAGCAAAGCCAGTGTAAGATCACTTGGGAGTAAGGAGGGAAAAACTACAGAATTATTCCCTCTGGAATGGAGAAGGGACTGCAGCAGCCCTAGTTAGAGCTGCAAGAACAAAGATGACACGTGATGTTTATCTGTGGTATTGCCCCATTAGCCTTAAGTATTAATCATCTTAAAAACCATATTTGGCATAATTGTCTTTCTTCATCTTAAAGACAGTATTTCAGACACAGACCGAAAGCACTTTTTCAAGGTTACGGAAAGACTCAACCTATCCGGACCGAAATTCATTTTTTGAGGTAGCACTCATTTACTACATAATGCTGGCTCAAAATAAAACTAGGGAAATGAACCCATTTAAAAATATGTTCATTGAAGGTGTAAAAACAAAAAATTTCCTTTCTGGGTAGGTAACCAAAAAGTGTCAAATCCTTCCTATATAAGTCAACTCACATTCATAAATGGTTTATAACAATAGCTATAAACTAAAGTGCTTTAAAATTTGCTTGAATAGATTTCAGTGATTAGAATCATAATATTCTGGATTTTTGCTAGTGTGAAATGCTATAAGACTGGAATGAACTTTATGCATGAAGGGCAGAATGAACATTTTCTTGTTCTTTTTCAAGAGAAATGTGCAAAAACATCCTGAATGTTTTAATGTAGCATTCTGTGCACACTGTAAGAGTTTGCTTGCTTTTTCTCTCTCAAATCCATGTTATTTCTCCAGTAACTAGAAAAAAATTGGAGTTGAAGTTACACTACATTGCAGCACTAAAAATCATACTTCAGACAGATGCAAACAAGAAAATGTTTACCATGATACTATTACTGAAATTCACACTTCTTGAAGTTCAGCCCTGCAGATTCCTTTTAACACGAGGCAGATATGTAAAATTATGGAAAATGCAGTAGACTATTATCTATTCTTCACAATAAGTATATAAATTTCACATTAAAGTCACAAATGTAATGCCCTAATGTTCATCTAGCAAATGCTGAATAGCTTACGAACACTTATGTGCTCTATAGAACAGTGAACTCCTTTCAACTGACCAGTGGATGCTAAGATATAAAAGTTCATACACAAGACAAACTAATTTTTAAAAAAGTCACATTTTCTGTACATTACATGCAAATGGTGCACGATGTGGTAACAACAACATCTGCAAAGCGCTCCTTTTAAGGGAGAACTTTTACAATGAAGGCAGACTAATATTCAGAAAAGTCTGCAACAACAACAAAAGTTTACAAGTCCATGGCAACAAAAGCAAAAATTCTTCCAGCATCTCATTTTTCCTGTAACAATGCAGGGATGTTGATGTTCCAGCCAATCGCCTGACGATCAAACCCACAGGTAAATAGGTTACATATTGGATGGTCTTCACTCCAAGCTGAACAGCAAACCATTCTTCTATGGCCCTATTACAATTCAAATAAATAAATTAGTATTACATTAGACAAGAGGTTTTAAATTAGCAACCTATTCACTATACTAATTCATGATGAACTGATACAAGTATCTGTTTTCATTTACCAAATAAACCTATTCAAATAGATTTTTTAATATTATCTAAAAAGTCACACCAGGATAAACCTGCCAGTATCTTGAGCTCGAGTGTTTAACAGAACACAAAATGTTTTTAATTTTTATTAAAAAGTCTCAGTCACTCTCTTGCCATGCATACTTTTATCAGAAAAAAATAGCTCTCAAATATAATGAAGTACATTTGGCAAGTTTTAGAGCACAAAAAAAATGTAAGTCAATGGTCCCTGTTCAAGAACAAGTTAGTTTGTAAAATGAAAGTTTATATGCCATGAATGGTGTCAAGTATCAAGCCGTGTTATTCTGTATCCACAAACAACAAGGAGTCCGGTGGCATCTGAAGAAGTGAGGTTTTTTACCCACGAAAGCTTATGCCCAAATAATCTGTTAGTCTTTAAGGTGCCACCAGACTCCTTGTTTTAGTCTATGTTTTAGTCATGGGTATTTTTAGTAAAAGTCATGGACAGGTCACAGGCAGTAAACAAAAATTCACGGCCCGTATCTGTCCATGACTTTTACTATATACCCCTGACTAAAACATTGCGGGACAGGGGGGGCGGCACCCTGGGGGTACCGCGGGTACTGGATGGGGTGTTCCAGGGGCCGCCCCATGAGTGCTGGGGGGCTGTGGCCCAGGGGGGGCACCATGGGTGCTGGGACAGGTTCCCTATCCAGCTCCTGGGATGCAGCAACGTTCAACTCCTAGCTCCATGTGCTGCCTCTGCTCCACCCTAAACCCCAGTTCTGCAGCTCCCATTGGCTGAGAACCGCGGACAATGGGAGCTGCGGGGGCGGCACCTGCGGGCAGAGGCAGCATGTGGAGCTAGGAGCTGAGGGAGAGGAGTTCTTGTCGCCCTTCCGGGGAGCCCCTCCACCAGGTAAGCACCGCCCCACACCCCAATCCCCAGTGTTGAGCTGGGGGGGCCAGGGGCTGAGACTTCCCCAGCAGCAGTCTGTGCGCCTGGCCCAGGGGCTGCCCGAGCTGCTCAGACAGCTCCCAAGCCAGCCACACAGGCTGCTGCAGAAGTCACAGAATCCGTGACTTCCGTGACAAACACCTTAGCTATGAAGTCTGATGTGGATCTCTCGGAATATCATGAAAGAAAATAACTTTGTTTAGAAAAGCAGGCCTTGGACATAAATAACTTTCTCCAGAATGTTTCACAATAATTTTACTATGACTGAACAGATCTGTGCTGCTGCTACTAAAGTACTACTAACCTAAAGGAGCATTTACAGTCTAGAAAAATCTACATCCTACAGAGAAATAATTTCAGAGATTTGTAAATATGGTTTCTCCAGAACAGCAAGAGTTCTGAAGGACTTTGTTCCTTTTACTTATTCCCTGTAAAAATGTATCTACAAATTTAACAGCAAGAGCATGAAACTATGAAAAACTTCCAATCCCCACCGCATTTCTATAATCTTAAATATCTATCAAGTAGCATGAAAATCCTCAATTTAAGTATTACATCCTTGGTTGAACTGCTTTGCTGCGATCTGCTTGAATTGCTTTCCTGATACATTTTAGAATTAAAAACAGGATTAATGGTATATTGCAAAATGTTTTTTAGTTATACCAAATACAAGACAGAAACTGACCAACACCACTTCTCTCTCAAACACTGTCCCCTAAGAGTGTGTCTACCCAACAACAAAACCCTGTGACAGAGCGTCACAGAGCCCAGATTAACTGATTCGGGCTTGCTCTACAGTGCTAAAAATAGCAGTGGAGATGTTTGGGCTCAGGCTGGAGACCGTTCCACTCTCACTGGGTATCAAAGCCTGCACTCCAGTCCAAGCCTGAATGTCTACACTTCTAAACTTAGTCCTGTAGCATGCGCCCAAGTCAGCTGACCCAGGCTGAGAGACACTGCCATGGTTATTGGGTTTTTTTTTTTGCTGTGTAGATGTACCCTAATCGGGATCCTTTGGTCTCACCTGAAAGGTAAGTTCTTCAGCAAGACAGTATCCCTTAAAACCATGCTGGGGCACTGGTAATACTGGCTTATATGAAAGAGTATCACCAACTGAATCACCAGCACCCTGGGTCCTACCTAATTACTGAACTTGCTCAACCCAGAAGTCTTAATCTACTTTTGTTTTTTAAAAAAAGTATTAACAAAAGTTATTTTCTGTAAGAAAAATAATAGCAGCCTGTTCAGTGACATTCCAATGGCTCTGCACTCACAAGCGATATGGCTTTGGTTTCTGATCATTCATGCTCTTAACCAAGAAGGGTTAATACTATTGTGGAATCATATTAGTCTCATTGTTGGAGAAAAATAAGGTCTCACAACAGCTACCCCTCAAATCAATTAGCAAGCAGTCCTAAACAGAATCCTTGCCATCCCTCAAATCACAAGGATGTGTGGGCTGAAGCATCAAAAAACCAAACCAAAATACTGACACTTCAATACTCCCTTCCCTGTTCCTTATGGTTAAGCTATTCTTAAAACCCTTCTTTTAAACTGTGCAGCACTGTTTTACAGCTGTTGCATTCCACGCCCAGAGTGGGCTGCATTTCAGTGGCAAGTGATGTGATTTCTATACATGTACCTTGCAGGAATGTTGTGAGATGCAGAGTTTGTAACATGCTTTAAGGTCCTATGGAATGCTTGAAAGATGCTATAGAATTGCAGTATTAAGCAAGTTTACTCTAATTTTAAATGGTAGCTATTATTAGAACAAGTGACTATAAAAAAATGGCACCTTACTACTCAGATCTATTTTGTGTCTATTATCAGTCATACTAGCTAAATTTTTCATGACTGTTTTTACTACATTATTCAGGTTAACACTACAGCCCCTAGACAAAAGGAGAGAAAAATGTTGGGTTTTTTTTTTAACCTACACATCAACTCTATTGCCAAGTCCCAAGTACAAAATGGATACTAGCACAAGCATGGGGAAAAAATATCACTATCAAAAACTTCAGTTTGCAGGATGGACAGCAACATTTTTTTTACTTGTAAACTAAACAAATGTAATAAGCAATCACTGAGAGACCTGGAACTTCAAGATGTTATGTAGTCAGTCATTTCTCAGAGCAGATCCATGTTCTAAGATATGCTCTACATTTAGACTTCAAGTGGTATTTAAGCATTCTTCACTTCATTTATAACATTGAAAAAAATCAGAAACACTTCAGCACAGAGAAGTCAAGGTGAAACCAGGTAAACTGAAGATATACATCATACATATTTTGTGGATTCAAGTAAAAAAAAATAAAAATTATAATATATTAATTTATCTGTTCCAAAGTTTGCAAGGAGATTTACCCAAATTTAGAAAACTCAAAATGTTTTGTATTAAATGCTAATTTTCAGTAACTGATAACATTTTCAGTCCAGAAATTCAGCTACCTGTCTGTTACTGCGAGGGAGCCGTGCTAATCGCACTCCTGACATGTCGAATAATCTAACCTGACGGTTGTCATGTGGAAGGGCAATGATTCTTTGGCCAACACTTACATTAATCCTGCACAGAAAAGATAAAAGTAGGTTATGTACAAAACTGAGACTGACAAATAGGACTTGACAGTACAAGTCTGAGTTCATTGACAGTGATGTGGTTGAATATTTACTATTAAATTTAACAGTATAATGAGTATATTACAGCTAAGTTTTTTTTCTTGGAATAAGCTTGATCATCTATGGCACATGCACATGGATGCACAATTACCACCAGAAATTCCAGGAAAGCAAAATGATCTACTTTTTAAGAAGGCTTTTTACAAATCCAACCCAAGCTTTGTTTTCACTCTTGATCATTGAATTTTAGTTCAGGTTCAATACATTTTAAACTGAAAACTTTTAAGGTTAACTCAATTGTTTACCTGTTCACTGCAGAGTCTGTACGGATAGTAGCAATAGGAGATCTCATATTTTTCAAGTCCCAGACTTTTACAGTACGGTCATCACTACCCGAAACAACATTGTCACCCACTGTGAAAACAGCTGATGTCACGGTGCTAAACAATTGGGAGTAAAAAAGAATAATAATCAAAGCTTCAGGAAGAGCTAAGGAACCTTGATTTCAAGTTCTTCTGTTAACTGTTCTTATGTTCTCTTAAATGTGTAATTTGCAATAGATAATTTTAAACCAAAGTGACTAAAACTTAAGAAAGTCTTCAAGTGAAAGACATGAGACTTTGAATAAACTGTCAGTGGAAATCAGGGAAGCCAAGTCACATGGGACATAAAGTTAGATTGGACAAAGCACTAGGGAAAAAAAATTGTAGAAGAAAATGTTCCACTGGTACAGATAGACTAGAGAAACTACCTGGTCATAAGAACCGCCATACAGGTGAGACCAATGGTCCATCTAGTCCAGTATCCTGTCTCGAACAGTGGCCAGTCCCAGAGCTTAAGTAGAAATTTTGGAGTGATCTACCCCATCCTCCCCTTGCAGTTTCTGGCAGTCAGAGATTTGGGGTCACCCAACCACAGGGTTGCATCCCTGACCCTCTTGGCTAATACCCATCGATGGACCTACCCTCCATGAACTTATCTAACTCTTTTTTGAAATCAGTTATGCTTTTGGCCATCACAACGAGTTCCACAGGTTAATTATATGTTGTATGAAAAAAATATTTCCTCTTGTTTGTATTAAACCTGCTGCCTACTAGTTTCATCAGGTGACTCCTGGTTTTTGTATTGTGAGAGAGGGTAAATAACACTTCTCTATTCATTCTTTCCACACTATTCATGATTCTATAGACCTTTAACATATGTCCCTGTCCACCCTTGTCTCTTTTTTAAAACTGAACAACCCTAATACTTTTAGTCTCTCCTTGTACAGAGGCCATTCCATGCCCTTGATCAACTTTCTTGCCCTTCTCTGAACCTTCTCCAATTCTACTATATCCTGGTGGGGGGCACTGTGATTTATATAGTGGTATTATGATATTTTCTATCTTATCCCTTTCCTAATGGTTCCTAACACTGTTAGCTTTTTTGACTGGTGCTGCGAACTGAGCTGAAGTTTTCAGAGAACTGTCCATGGTGACTCCAATATCTCTTTCTTCAGTGGTAAAAGCTAATTTAGAGCCCATGTGTATATATGTGCAGTTGAGATTATTTTCTCCAATGTGCATTACTTTGCACTTATCACTGTTGAATTTTCATCTGCCATTTTGTTGCCCAGTCACCCAGTTTTGTAAGATCCCCCTGTAATTCTTCAGTCAGCTTTGGACTTCATGATCTTGAATAATTTTTTTATTCGCAAACTTTGCCACTTCACTTTTCACTCCCCTTTCCAAATAATTTATGAATACACTGAACAGCACAGGTCCCAGTACAGAGGACCCTCCTGTTCACCTCTCTCTCTTGAAAGCTATCTTTTGTTTCCTATCTTTTAACTAGTTCCTGATCCATAAACGAACCGTCTGTCTTACTCCATGACTGCCTAGTTTCCTCAAAAGCCATTGGCGGGGATCTTGTCAAAGGGTGGTTGAAAATCTGAGTATGCTACATCAATTGGATCACCCTTATCCATTTGCTTGTTGACACCTCACAGAATTCTAATAGACTGGTGAGGCATGACTTCTCCTTATACAAAAACTGTGTTGAACTTTTCCCCCAATAAATCATGTTTATCTACATTTGATAATTCTGTTCTTTAGGGGGGGGAGGGATAGCTCAGTGGTTTGAGCATTGGCCTGCTAAACCCAGGGGTTGTGAGTTCAATCTTTGAGGGGACCACTTAGGGATCTGGGGCAAAATCAG